ATATCTCAATAATTGGGCAAGTAATTTCTACTTTAAAATAATTATGACAAAACCACATTTTGTCATATTCTTATGCAACTATAATTTTGCATAAGTCATATCATTTAATTTCATAGAATTAATTGAAATTATCACCATTAATCAAGGTTTGTATAATTTTCAAACCAAAATTCATGGACATAAATAGGATTTACAACTTCATACTGTATATGTCACTTACCGGATTGACGCATACCGTATATGCAACTTACTGAATATGTGACCTACTGTATATACATCTTATCGTATTTGTTGCTTACCGTATTTGTAACTTACTGTATATGCATATACCAGATTTGCATATACTAACCAAAAGTCTATCTGAAATCCCAACTCTTATATGAATTCACCAAATGAATTTATTATTTGAAATTCACATTTATACAAATGATATTATAATGTCACATAATATCCACTTTTGTATTTTATACAAATGAATTCATTGCACATAATTTTCAGTAACTTACCAAATTTCCATAACAATGAAAAGTCACATGCATTTCTCCATCGTTTTCATTTTCTTTTGCATTTAAAATTAAAGAGTCACATGCCTTTACTTTACTGACAGCCATGCAATGTGACAATAATTGCAATAATTACTTTTCATCATATTCTAACTAAATGGACGGCAGTTACAACATGAATAAATTCACAACTTTTGTACCAAAATGATGAAAATTACACTACTTTACTGACTTTTTCTTCCAAAATTCAATAGGCATCGGTTCATTTTGGAACGTCCAAAACTCTTAATTGATTTATGGATTAATGAAAGGAAATATTCCAATAAAATCATGTAGCATATATCTGTCATTAATCTTTTAATATGGATAAACCTTTTGGACTAAAATGTGCCAGGAATTTCCCGTCATATATAACATATTTTATATGTTGTCAAGCCACAAATTCATGAATTTATTCCAGCCATGTAGAGACTTTATAGTTTACACAAATATTCAATTGGCAAATAGACGGACAAAACATAACATTTAGATTCCTGAATAGTCACTGGCCAAAGCCGTTTTAAAATCAAAGACGACAGGTATTATATGATTAATTTCACAATTGTAACCTGACTTTATGAATTATGAAGTAATTAATTACTAAATAACCCTTCATGTAATTAACAGTTTGCAGAATTTCCATCGGACTTGTAATAGCAAGTCCATATTTTGCCTTATTCATTTATTTATGAATATTAAAAGAATGCATTTATATATGCTTTTCTAATATACTTCTTCCAAATTTCTCTCATGTCGGCAGAAACTAATTATGGTTTCCTTAAAAAAATTAGTGTAGTTTTTCAATCTAAAAAATACATGCAACTTGTATTACAAGTTATTCCAATAACATAACTTTATCACAAACCCAACCACCGTCATATGAATTGAGAGAAAAACCAATTATGTTAATTCTTTAATCCAGAAAATACATATTTGCAGTTTTAACACAATGGTTGGAATGTGAGAGCGAATATTGGACACTTAATCCTTCACCAATCAAAACAGGATATAGAGGATATATGATGATGGAATACCAGTCTTCTTAGAGAAAATACTCAAGTAGAATTTCATATTCTAATTAGAATATAAAATGCACAAGAAGCAGTATCATGTCGGCAGAAACTAATTATGGTTTCCTTAAAAAAATTAGTGTAGTTTTTCAATCTAAAAAATACATGCAACTTGTATTAGTTATTCCAATAACATAACTTTATCACAAACCCAACCACCGTCATATGAATTGAGAGAAAAACCAATTATGGCAGTTCTTTAATCTAGAAAATACATATTTACAGTTTTAACACAATGGTTGGTATGTGAGAACAAATATTCGACACTTAATCCTTCACCAATCAAAATCGGATATAGAGGATATATGATGATGGAATACCAGTCTTCTTAGAGAAAATACTCAAGTAGAATTTCATATTCTAATTAGAATATAAAATGCACAAGAAGCAGTGGAGTTCATCTTAAAATTGTTGAAAAATTACACCGATATTATGCATATTATATTCATAAAACATGCCATTTATGTTCACGAAATCAAAATGCAATTTCGTCTTACCAAAATGGATTTGGAAAGATGAATAGATATATTCAATCATTTTCATTCTTTATTTCAAACCTACATGAAATCAAAAGAATGTTATTAATTTTCTGAAATCAAATACGAAGAAAGAAATCAGAAAGAATCAAGGTGAGATGCGAGTGATGCGATCGGCCAAGGCAAGTGTTAGACACTTTGTCCTTAAAATGAATTTGATCCGCAATGGTGCTAACGATTTTTCGGCAATCATCTCCCAAGATACAACGACCACGTCGAGTCATAGGAACACTCCAAATGGCTTAGACCAACGAACTCGAACGGAGTTCCCTTTCTACCATAACCATGACTTTGTTGGAAATGTTTTATGCAAAACCAAAGTGTAACATGAAATGGAATAATATGGAATTATGAATTGAGTTTCTTTTTTTTCTTTTTTTTTGTTGATAAAATCCAAACACATGGGGTCTATATATATATAGTGGAAATGTATGCCAAATGACACAACCATACCAAGAGACGCAGCTCTTGAAATTTATTTTTATACATTAAGAGACACAATTATTGAAAATTAATCATACCCATACCAAGAATCATGATCCTTCATATGAAAAGACACATTCATATATTTCTAGAATATTACACAATATTCTATACAATTTTCAAACAATTTCAAGTATTAAGCGGCTTATATTTAACTTAATTTCTCATTCACCAAATTAAGAATTCCAATTTACCAATTTTCATTACAAAATTCCAACAAAATCTACAAGTTTTAATTGTCAACGTCTAGTATTCTACGTGATTCTATGGGCTTTGGTTGTGGCTTTTGTTTGACACGCACTTCTGACAACATGAAATCGTATCATAGCTCAGCTACATTCTTGAAATTCAATGACACAAGTCATGTTGAACAAAATTTTTTGGGACGGAACAAACTTTCTCCATATTCATTTGCTTTAGGACATTTACTCATTTGTATGCTCCAAATTCTCCACGACAGATTCAGCAATTAGTTTATGGGTCTCGTTTAAATTAAGCTCTTGGAAAAGTAGTATTGAATGATCTATAGCTAATTTAAAAGGTTTCAAGGTCAAGAAGGAAGAATAATATTTTTCCACGCAAATTCAGAATCCTGACCACTAGTTGAGATAGTATCAGTCTATATTTTTGTACTTGGTCGATAAATATTTTTTTATTTTTATCGACAGAGGTCGAGAATAAGTTTTAATTCTAATAATTTCATTACTCATTTTCTCCATTAGGATCAAGAATGTCGAAGCAAAACTAAAGATTTTGATTTAGGTTGAAATACCGATGAGTTTCATTTTGGTCACCACAAGAAAATTAAAGAAACTGTCCGTAGAGCCACCTGCTTACACTTCCTTGGGCATTGGCCCATCTTAAGAAAAAATCAGCAAGTGGAAGTTTCGGTAGTGAATTTTTGTTCGTGGAAATTACATGAAGGCCTACTTTTAAAAATTGCTTTTAAAAAATTAGAATTATAGTTTATATATACAAAAATTAGATGATAATACAATTTTTAATGTTAAATAATAATATTATAAAATTTAATTAATTATATACCCACTTGCCAAATCCTAATATTCAAATTAATTTCGCTCTTTATCAATCTCTCTCTATTCTACCTCTCCACCACCACCGTCAAAGATGTCGGAGAAAACGAAGCGACGATACATGCCATGTGATGCTAGGGATGACAACGGGCCAAGCGGACTTTAACCCACGAGCTCGGCTCGTGGCGAGTTGAGCTCGTGGCTTGTGAAAGATGAGCCGAGCTCGAGCTAGGCTCGTTGCTCGGGGGCGAGTTCAACTCGGTCCACGAGCCGCTCGTGAGCTCTTGAGTTTTTTAATTTTATTGGGGTAAATTTGTATATTTTAGACCCTTTTTTTTTAAAAACGCTTGTGGACTTGACGAGCCGAGCCCCCCACGAGCCAATTTTTGACGAGCCGACGAGCTGCTTGACCCGTTTAACACCCCTACGTGATGCTGTCATAGAGGCTTATCTCTATTTGTTGCAGATCTGACACCACGAACTTTGACCACCATTTCTCTATTTACTGCAGATCTGGTGGCTTTGGGTTAGGGATATTATGGTTTATTGGGTGGTGCAATAGTTTGTGGTTTGTGTGGAAGTATTGGTAGAGGCTAATGAAGTGGTAAGAGATTTTAGGGCTTTTTGATGATGGCTGTTGTGGTGTTTTTGGTGCAGTGCTGGTGGCAGTGCGATGGTATTGGTGATTATTGGTTTTTGGGATTTTGATGGTATTTTTGGAATTGCAACAAATTTGTTGGTTGTTGGAATGATGACCACCATTTCTCTATTTACTGCAGATCTGGTGGCTTTGGGTTAGGGATATTATGGTTTATTGGGTGGTGCAATAGTTTGTGGTTTGTGTGGAAGTATTGGTAGAGGCTAATGAAGTGGTAAGAGATTTTAGGGCTTTTTGATGATGGCTGTTGTGGTGTTTTTGGTGCAGTGCTGGTGGCAGTGCGATGGTATTGGTGATTATTGGTTTTTGGGATTTTGATGGTATTTTTGGAATTGCAACAAATTTGTTGGTTGTTGGAATGATAGAGGCGGTAGTGGTGGATCTGGTGGTGGCTGTGGTGATATTTTTGTTGGATTTATGTTGGTGGTGGTTGTAACGGTGGCTTTGGTGGATCTGGTGGTAATGGTGGGTATGTTGGCGATGATGGTGGTTTTTATTAGATTTGGTCATGGCATTGGTGATTTTGTAGTTGAAGATGGTGGTTTGTTGTGTTTTATTACGGTTTATTGGGTGACGCGACTGGTTTGTAGTTTGTATAGAAGTGCTGCTAGAGCCTAATGAAGTGGTAAGAGATTTTAGGGCTTTTTTACGGTGGCTATTGTGGTGTTTTTGGTATAATGGTGGTTGCAGCGCGAAAGCATTGGTGGTTGTTGGTTTTTGGAGCTATAACAAATTTGTTGGTTGTTGGAATGATGGTCACAATGGTTTTTGTTTATAGAGATGGTAGTGTATCTAGTGTTAACGTTGGCATTGGCGTTAGCTGTGGCGGTGGTTTTTGTGGGATCGATGATGGTGGATCTAATGGTAGCTTTGTTGGATTTGGTGGGGGTGGCGATGGCCCTGGTGGTGGTTTTGTTAGCAATGATGGTGGATTTGTCCGTAACAATGGTTTTTGTTGGATCTGATGGCAGTGATGGATTTGCAATTGAAAATGGTGGTTTTGGTGGTGACCTAAAAATTTATTAATTTGTGAGCAATAAATAATATATGACTTAACAACTTGTTAAGTTGTGACCTATAATTTAATAATTTGTGTCCTATAAATAATTTGTGATAAATTAATTTGATATTTTGTGATCATGAAATATGTTGTAACTTATAAAATTTGTAATTTGTAATCAAGGAATAATACGTGACTTATTAATTTAATAAAATTTTCTTTGGGATATAAATTATGGCCTATAAAATTTGTAATTTGTGACGTGACATCCGTAATTGTGACTAATACATAAATGTGACCATAAATTATATAATATTGTGACATTAATATATTTCATTAATAAAATAAGATATATATTTAATTAATTTTTTCATACATAAAATTTAATTAATATCTAATTTTTTAAATAATAAACATTGTTTTAGTTTTAAAATGGATCATACTTAATCTCTTAGATATAAAATTTTCCTTTTTCGATTTAGGTAAATTGCAACCAGAATGATCCCGAATGACTGCTTCCATCCCAAGCCACCTTTGCTCAATCCAGATTCTTGCGTCAATATTTAGATTGTATTTGGTGGGAATTAAAATTAGATTTTTTAGTAAATTGTGATATAAGCTTTTAAAATGTGTGGTTGAAAATTTGTGAAATTCATGAAAGATATGGTTAATATTGATTATTTGACTTTAACTTATATTAAAATCTGATTTTAATCCAAACCAAACAGAGGCTTAGAATTAATTTTTTCATACTCAACCTCGCCATCCACAGTTAGGGGTGTTAAATGGGGGTGATTGTAAGGCTTGGCTAGACCAACCAATGCAGCAACTGCACCACGTTACATCGCCTCCCATAGACCCAACCTATATATTAAACGAATATGTAATCAGTGACTCATCTAGGATCAGAATACAAGCCAAGCTAATACGTCAAAAAATAAATTTACACATAAAAAATTTTGCATTAAAAATATTAAATGGGTTGGGGACTGGACTGGGCTACAACCAAGCCCAATCCCCCAATATATAAAATAGGGCAACTTAGAAAAATATTATTAGAATTAGGGGTCTCTTGAAAAATCATATGAAAAGTTTTTTGGAAGTAAAAAGTCACCTTTTATTGTTATTAAACACAATGTCACTTTTATATAAAATTTGCATCACATTTTAATTAAAGAAAAAAAGGTTATCCAAACTCACTTTTAATAGTGTCCGAAAATTTTACAAAAAAAAAAGTGACAAACAATCAAAAAACAAATTTAATAAAACTGACATACAATATCACATTTATTAAAAATTGACTTTTGTCGGTCAAAAAAGCAACAAAAATTTCAAAAGAATGTGGCAATAACTCAAAAAGTGACAAATACTTAAAAAATGTGATATACATTAAAAACAGTTACAAAACCTCAAAAAAGTGAGAACATCGATCAAAATCTTAAAATACATCATTTTATACAAATTCAACCACTTCTCCACCACCACTCCACCTCCACCAAGGCCAACCCTACGAGCAAAAGGTCACTCAAAATATGACATGAAATACTAACCTTTGTTTTCAACTGAGACTTCATAAAAGGATATACAAGCACCAAAACATGACATTTGCATTCAGTAGCAATCTTATTCTACTAAAAAATCATTTGTTGTAGAAATAAATACATAACGACAACAAATCAACTGGACTTGAAACTGAGGCCCCATCGCACCTACTGTCCAACCAAACTAAAACGACTTCTTTTTTATTTCTTTCTAGAATACTTGTTCTACATAATAGATTTTACATTTTCTCAACAGTTTTCATACTGGAGCTAAAAAGGGATGGTTAGGATATGAACAAGGATAAATACAAAAGAATTACAACCTTGGTATGTACAGAGAGTTACAGAAAATAGGAACTGCTTTGCTACAATCTAATAACCAACAATTCAACGGGGCTGCTGGATAAAATGGAGGCTGCATTTTGGGCTAACGTGCTTAATTGGCTTCTCCCAGTACTTTGCAGCTAGTTAGTTGCCTTGGAGACCTGGGACTCGTCTCTTTTGATATGTTCAATTTCTTGATCCATACCTCCACATTATTTCCTAAACCTAACATCATACCAAAATTAGAGTAAACGGGTACAAAATATCACTTAGCTATAAAACAAAGATAAAATGTAGCACAAGAATTTTTAATACCATTTATGTTGTCAGGTATGCAAAGTTGATCACTTGATTACTATTTAGCAGGCATTATTTAGTATTGAACATACTGTAGTAACCAATGGCTAAGTAAAAACAAATTAGTATTCCCTATCACCAATTGTAGTAAGTAACCACATTGCAAAACAAACATGACTGTCAAACCTCCCGAAGTATTTATAATTGTGTTGAAAAAATTTTAAATTCGAATCTTAAGCCACCGTATACATGATCAATGGAAAAATATAGCAGAAATTCCAACTGATATCACATTGACTGAAAAATAACAAAATTAGCAAGGGAAAAGAACCTCATTAGTCATTATCTCAGCCAATGAAATAAGCCGAATTGCATCTTTAGAATCATTAGTTACATCTCAAACTTTTGCCATTCCTTCTCAATTTATACTAGCAAAAACTAATAGAGATTCACAATCATTTGAGACCTTTAAATTTTCAAAAAAATAAATAAATAGAGAAATGTATCAAAACTCGAATCTAATAATAATATTTCAAAAGAAAATGAAAATGAAGGATTAGATCAATTTCTCTTACCATTAAGGCATTAAGAAAAAGTCTACAGAGAGAGAAATAGTTATCAATTGGAAACACTAAAGCCGCCGTGGAATGATTCACTGGTTGGCACTTATTTTTTTGTCCTACCTTTTTCATACGAAGGAACCTGAGCCGTGGATTTTGTGGCGATTTTGAGATTTTTGTCTGGAATCAATAGTGGGCATTGTGTTGTTTGAACGGAATTTGGGCGTATTAATTACGGGATTAAATATTTTAATTAGTTTTAATAGAATTAATCTAATTTCTTACTTTTTAGGGGTAATCGGGGACGTATCCAATGGGAGTACGTGACCATCCCAAACTTTTTTTTATTTTTTTTATTTATTATAAGTCCTGTTTGATATCGATTGAAATCAAAATTAATAATTAGTTTAATAACATATTTCATAGAATTCTTAACTTTTTTTACTTGTATCAAAATTTATTAAAAATCTAATGTTAACCTCCCGCCAAACAGGGGCAAAATTACAATAAATTTGAATTCTTTTCTTTTCTTTTCTCTTATTCTCTCCCTCACACCTCTTACCAAAGCCTTAATCCTTTTTAATTTTTTAAAATTTGTTTATAATTTTTCTACAAATTTTCAGTTTTCAATCAAATTTTAAGTTAATTAGAACTTAAATTTGCATTTTTTCCTATCCTATTTGTATATATACAATGTGTCTAAACTGATTGTATTCAATTTAATTTATATTTAATGAATTGTATTAATTTGATTATATATTGATTATATATTTTTTCTTTCAATCACTTGAATTAATTGTCTGTATTAAGTACACTATAAATTTTTTAAACGTAAATATGAATTTTATTGTGATGAGCAAAATATCACTAAAATAACTGTTTAAAATCAAATGGATGAAAATGATGTGCAAAATATAAATGAATAAATATTTTTTAAATGTAAATCTACATTTTCTCGGGTCAAGTACAAATCATTTAAAAATTAATAACAAAGTATTTGATTTGTACAGAATTTGATTGTGCTCCCTAACTAAAATTTTTTGCGTCCTCCCCTTGGGGTTCCCTATAAAATAGATGTGGATATTAGACTCATCTCTCCCACATCATACAAACACTAGAGAAACAAGAACCCAATAGCTCTTTGGTGGTAATATTAACCTCCAAACGGCCTTCTACCAATGTTCAAGGTTTATTGAGCTTCACCCTTTAGTGCTTCTCAACTCTCTCATATGAAACAGATAGTCGATACTCAATGAGTGTTTTTCTCTAGCCTCCTAATGACATATCATGCAAACTGAGTAGAATGTATATAGAATAATTTTGCAATCAACTGAGTAGAATGTATATAGAATAATTTTGCAATCAATGGGGGATAAATTTAATGATCAGAAGATTTCGTGTAACATCCTAAAATTTCTAAAATTTATTTGTTTATGAAATTATATATGTATAAAATTATAAGTAATGTTATTTAGCAATGTTAATATTCCAACACTGATATAGATTACATTAAGTTAGATGTACAATTAAATGAATCATATAATTTTATTTTTAATTAAGCATATCACATAGTGTCATTTGTTAAAAAATAAATTTCACAACGATTAAATACTAAAATACGGACCAACATATAAAGGTTTGTCCTACTCTTATTAATTAATTGACATTTTAAGATAAAACTTAAAGTTTTAATATGGTATCGATGCACATTAAACTCCAATAATTAATTCAATCTAATTAAAACTCAAAAAATAAACACACAAGTTTCAAAATTGATCTGCTCAAACGAGCTACCAACATGTTAAAAGGATAATTCTCAAATCGATTAAATACTAAAATATAAATTAGTATACAAGGGTTTAAGCTATTTCTCCTAACTATGTTAAATTTTAAGATGAAAACTCAAGTCTTAATATCACATAGATAACTTATTCTACAATTGTTCTCTCATTTTCTCTTATTATTTATTATTTATGTTCCTATCACAGAGTATTTAGCGTCCAACTGTCAAAGTAGCATTTAGCTTATAACATTGGAGTCTTTAATGTCAAGCTTATGTTGAATTAACAAACATGTCATGAGCACCTTGTCGACAGTCCAATGAGGCATAATCCGGACATGAAGCTACCCGGTCGATACTTGTGCGTTAACTTTAATTATATTTTTATTATAAAAGTATACACTCTGTTAAATAAATAAAATTACTTCTCAAGTCCATGGGCCAAT